TTTTTTTTTTTTTTTAGCATTCTGTTCTCTGAGTGTTAAAGCTGTCTGGGTGTGTTGATGATTCAAAAGTAATTACAGTAGGGGAAGTAGAACGAAGTTGCTGAAAGCATCAATGATAAAGCACCAAAATTGGACCATCTTCCCAGACAGATGGGTGAAATGGCTTTCTGGTACAGGAAGGACAGGATTGTCTGTAACATCAAAAATAAAAGTTAGTATCACTTTGGCAACTACTGGCTGTTACCCCATTGCTGAGAGGTTGTGCCTGGGCTTTGCTTTTGGATAAATAAAAGACAGACACAGGGCCCACCCAATGTGAGATAGGGGAAGGCAGTCCCTCTCCCACTTGATGACCCACAAGCTTTTAGCGGGAGTCAGAGACAACTTTGTTGATGGAGAAACCTACTGTTCCTTCTCAGGGAGGCATGATGAAACCTTGGATTCATCTATACACAGGTTCTGATAGTCTCTTAATAGCAAGGCTTCCTCTCAGCGATGCAGATGTCTAAAAATTCCTATATGGCAGGGTTTTCTAGCACCCACTTTCCCCACAGAAGGGAGAAATTCTGCCTTATTCTCTCAAGAAACTGCTCAGACACCTTTTGCTGTAGATGTCATTAAGTCCTTAACATGACAGGCTGCAAAGTGTCTTGCCTGCCAGTGCTTCCTCCTCAGCTAGCTCTGTGGGTGGGTGTGCACCTCTGCACATCCTGCAGGGGCCAGGGTGCATGCATAGTGGGCTCCTCTTTTCCTGGCTCAGCCTCTTTTTGGCCTCTTTGTGCTCGTTTTCCCAGTGGCTGCTGAGACTTGACCTTGTGTCTCCTGTGGAGCTTTCCTCCTGTCCGTGGGGCCTGTGTGGCCATTTAAGCTTGTGTTTGTCCCTACCCTAAGAACCCTGTGGGAATAGTCCTATCCCAGCAACAAAGTTTGTAAATGCCAACATCTGGGGCTGGAGCTTTGCATTTCACTTGCAGAGCTTTCAGCCAAGCTAGAGTTTGGAATTCCCATAAAAGAAATCCTCTGTGTCTGGTAGATGGGGTATTCCTGGCTCCTCCTCCTCCTCCTCCATTAGGTAGAAGTTGAGAAAAGTTAGCTGAGGGAGGGAGGTGGTAGTTTCCTCTCTGTGGGACCTTCCAAATTTTGTAGTATGTATTTTGTTAAAATGAGAAATACTGTTCAAGTCACATTTCTAGCCAGTGTGAATTAATGCTCTCAGTCTTATGTGGTGAATTAATAGAAGTGCTCTTAATATGGGAAATAAAGACAATATGTAAGTGTTTGTGAGATTGTGTATGCGTGGTCAGATTCTCCACTCTTCCTCCCTTCTCAGTTTTCTTTCTGCTTAGAGTTTGAGTGATTTGGGGTATTGGCTTCTCAACTTGGGAAGGTTGTTCTTGTAGGACCAAGGCGGTGGTGGAGGGGCAGTTAATGTGTTCATTCTTTATTAAAAGAATCGTTCCAGTTGCAGAATTGGTTGCCTCAGGCTTAGGTTCAAATCCCTGCTCTTCCTTTTTTGGTTTTTTGAGTCAAGGTCTCACCATGTAGTTGAGACTGACCTGGAACTCACTATGTATAGCCCAGGCTGGCCTCAAACTCACAGCAATCCTCCTGCCTCAGCCTCCCAAGTGCTGGGATTACAGGCGTGCGCCACCACGCCCAGTCCCTGCTCTTCCTATTTGCAGTAAGTCTTGACAAATCATTTTAGCTTTGCATTTAGCTAAGCATTTTTAGCTTAAAATAAAAATAAAGATATTTACCCTTCAGTAATGCTGGTGCATAGTAGATGATTAATTTTTTATTGATAAATGTTAGTGTCCTTTTTTATACAGCTAGACTGCTACTCTATTCTCCCTCCTCTAATCCAAGACATGTAACATAAACAGTACACAGGCCTGATCTTGTATGTTTTATTGTTAAGGTGGCTGGGGTTCAGAGAGGGAGCCCTGTTGTGAGGGCTTGGGCCTTCCACACACAGCCCTGCTGCACAGACCCCTTTGTGCCTCCGTGATGTGGAGTGGATTTTATCTGCATGTCCATTGAGTAGCCTGTGCTTTAGGGCTTCAGCCATTCTGCTTGGCATCTGGGCATCTGGCATCTGGAGGTAGGAGGAGGCCAGAGGGTCCATATGTCTCCTGTAAAAGTCTCTGAAGTCTTCACCATGGAAGCAGTTGTTGACCTCTCAGAAATGGATGTAAGGACAACTGTGTGCAACATTCTGTTGCATTTGCTTTGAGAGATAATGAACTTGGTGAAATTCAGATTTCTTCTAGGGAATTTTAATAACAAAAAAAGCGACCGGTTTTGAAGAGATGTAGATGTTCTTAAGCTATGACCTGGCAGCTTTGATTTTGGGGTAAAATGTTGAGAACTCAAATGCAGTGCTAAACTGCTTTTCATCCTGTCTTAGGCTGGCCGGCTTTGGAAAGTTTGGAATTTAACTCACTGATGGGGGGAGGGGGTAATGGGTTCTGGCTCTGACATGATCTCTCCTTTTCTGAGGTGGAAGGGTAGTTAGT